GAGAGAGAGAGAGAGAGAGAGAGAGAGAGAGAGAGAGAGAGAATGGGAAACTGGGAAACAGAAAAGAAAGAAGAGAGTGAGATGTTGAGATGTTGGGGCACAAGATGATGTGTGTGAAGATTCTCTCTCCTTCCCTCCTCCCCCTTTCCCGCTCTCTTGTTGGAACACCTGGTGATCCTGTTGTGAATGTACTGCCCAGGTTTCAATTGCCCCCGTTTTATTCAGCACAAAGTAGACACGTGGCAATAAGCAGAGGTGCTATCCCGGGGAGTCAGAGTTCCTCCTTCGGAGTGCTTTCTTCCAATTTCTCATCTCTCTGAAAAACATCGCAACACTGAACTTAGAGAGTGTGTCCTTATTTTTAAGTCTATGAATAACCAACTGTTTATTCCTGAAAATATTAAGTCCACCTTTAGTTTTAACTCACGACCTTCTGTTGTTGATGTTTTTAGTTTTCCGAAGCAGATTCTCACTATGCGCCTCTGGTTGTCCTCAAACTCACTATGTGGCCCTAACTGGCTTCAAACTCTGTGTACCCCAGACTGGTTTCAAACTTGTGGTGATCTACCTGCCTCAACCTCCAGAGTGCAGGGCATAAGCCACCATACCCCATACACGAACTCTTTTGTGTGGAATTTATTGGTTTCCCATTGGCTCTTTAAAAAAAATGGAGAAATCCCAAATTCTGTTGGAGCATGCAAACCCTTTCCAAATGTGCTTATAACCATCTGCTCAAAACCATCCTGATCTGTGCTCTCCACATGCGTAACATAAGCCTTTGCTCTTACTCAAATCCTGTAGGGCTAAGGACTTCAGACCCCATAAGAAATGGCAGCCCCACACTCACCATCAGCTGCCTCCTTAGGAACCCCTCACAGAACCCTTGCACGTGCTCCACGGTAACTTCCGAGATGGACAGAGTGTCCCACGTGTCATTCATCATTTCATAAATGGCCAAAGCTGGCAGCTCAGACTCCTTCAGTTTAAAATACGCTATCACCTTTTTATTTTCCTTTCTGTTACTGTCCACCAGAACAAAGAGAATCTGCAGTTGGAAGGGGTATGGAGGATAAATGTGCATCTGAGCTCCTGGGGATGAAGAGACACTTATAATTGCTATCATTACACTGACTGAATTTATGATCTGCATCACATAATTTAAATCTAAGTTGAAGCCTGGCATGGTGGTGCATGTCTCTCATCCTAGCACTTGGGAGGTAGGGGTAGGAGGATCAGAAGTTCAAAGTCATGCTCACTTACACAGCAAGGTCAAGACTATCTTGGCTACATGAAATTGTGTATTGAAAAAAATCTATTGAATTAAATGAGTTTTTATTATTATTTCTAGTTGCTTTTGTATCTTACCCTTCAGTCAAATTTATTTCATTATAAAAATTTAAAATTTGAAAATATTCTAATGATTATCTAAATGAGGCAGTATGTGTAATGGTTAAAGGCAGACAGAGTTTGAATTCCGCCTCTGGTACTTTTCGCCGTGTGACACCATGTAACTTAGCTTCTGAGACCCAGCTTTCTCACTGACAAAATGTACCAGCAAACAGGAAAGGAGATGATACATCTAGTATGTTCAGTAAAACCCTGTGGAGAGTCGACATGTTGGAGAATCCCTTGGAGCTCAGTGGGGTGAGTGTGCCCTGGAACAGCCAAAGGGTAACCTGCATGCACTTGGGGTTGCGAATAACTAACTTTGACGAGGAAACCCAAGCATTTCTGATCACTAAGGAAGAGAGAAATCCCTACTTGACAATCCGAAGCCACATGTAAGAGAAACAGAAAACTATTAGTTCTCTGGCACCCTGTTCAGATGTGTTGTGTAAGATGAATGGGGTTTCATTTGATAATAGAGGACATGAAGCCAGGGGTGTGGGGGTTGGGGTGTGGAGTGGTAAGAGGGGGAGGGGCTCTAAATATGATTAAAATACGTTATATGAAATTCTTAAAAATATTTCATTTATTATTTTTTATTTTATATGTATGAGTGTATTGTGTGCACGTGTGTGAGTGCACTCATGTTGTGGAATACCCATGGAGGTCAGAAGAGGGTGTTGAATCTCTTAGAACTGGAATTAGGACGGTTAGCTGCCTTGTGGGTGCTGGGAATTAAACTCAGGTCCTCTGTAAGAGCAGCCAGTGTTCTTAACCGCTGAACCATCTCTCCACCTCTGTATGAAATTCTTAAATCAATAAAATTAAAAAAAAGACTTACTGTATATACAAGGTAGGCACCATGTGCGTGGTTGGTGTTTATGGGAGACATAAACCCTTCTTATGTTCCAGTTCTTACTTTGTACCCTCTGATACCACACTGATTTTTCTTCTTTATCTCTACTTCCTTCTTCATGATGGTGAGTTTTCAAACTGGCATGCCATTTTCAACTCACCTGTCCCTGGAAGAGCTTAGCTGCCTCCTGGTATCTGCGCATGCTCTCTTCATACTTGGGGGAAGCCTTGTTCACCATCAGGAGGAGATGAGTCTGAATCATGGTGTTAAATAGGCCAGATGCAGTCTGGAAAATTGAGATGTGTTATACAAGAGGGGGAGGGGGAGGGGGAGAGATGACAATCCAGTGACTAGGCAGACTGAAACATCACATAGCAAAACAGGCGCAACTAGCCTCTAAGATGGCTCTCAAAAGTTTCACCGTCTTGAACTTGATCAAAATACATTATATACATGTATGGGATTGTCAAAGAACAAATAATAGATGGTTGTTAGCCATGTTGTGGGTTGAATGGGGAGGGCCAAATCTTGAAGACTTGTAGTAAGGATGTCAACCTAAACACCATATCAAGTGTTAATGAGGTGTTAATGAGTATCTCTGCTGTGAGATGGGGACCCTACTTGACATGGGGACTTAAGGGGGTGGCCACAGGGAGCACTGCTTACCAGAGGACTGTACTCTGTCACCCAGCGGAGGTTGTTGATATGAATGAAACGGCTTAATTTGGTGGCGTCTGTGTTTTCAATGTCTGTGCCATCTAAACGCAGTTGTTCATTATCAACCTTGGTAACAAAAAAACCAAGGCAAAACAAATGTTAAAATGATCATTTTTATCTTTCTTTAGTCATTGATACATGCTGTTAAACTAGGGTGATTTGACAGGCTTTGAGCACAGTTCCAAAGAAAAAGAAAATAAAGAAGTTTTCCTGCCCTTGAGGGCCACATTTGTACATTTATTTGTCTTGTAAGGGCTATTTTTATGTAATATAATTACTGACATATTGAATTATGCATTTTCCATTGATGCTGCCTGTTCTAAATTCCGTTTTCTTCATTTCTGGCCTTTTTTTTTTCAATTAGTTACTTCATATTACTCTTTGCTTTTTTGGCTTGGAAATTATACCGGTTTTATTTATTCATTTAGGGATTACTAGCATATACTATATAGTATGCAGTTTCTAACATACCAGAATATAATATTAACTGGCAGTTGTATTCCCTTGTTCAATATTAAAACATAGACACAAAGATAAAAAACTTTAAAAAGTTTAAATTTATGAAATAATACATGCCAACATAGAGAAAATATATTTCTAAAATAGAATTCTGGAAAAAATTGTCCAAACCACTACTTTATAATGTGAAGTCTAGGATGGCAGTGTGGCTCAATGGTAGAGTGCTCACTTGGCTAGTATGTGTGAGGCCCTAGGCTCAGTCCCAGCAGCCCCCCTTACCCCCAAACAGGGCTGGAAATCGAGTTCAGTTGGCAGAGCGCCAGCCCAGCATGAAGGAAGCACTGGCTTGAATTCCCAACAGCACATAAAGCAGACATGTTGATGCACTCAATTCCAGCACTGGAGAGGTGGAGGCAGGAGGATCAGCACATCTAGTACCTCTGTTACACAGTGAAGCTAAAGATACCTCAGGCTGCCTGACAATCTGTCAAAAGGGAGTGGGTGGAAGTTCTTTGGTCATATATACAATTGTGTTAAATTCCAAAATATTTCTCAGTAGAAATATTGAGAAAAAGATATGCCTTGGTAGAACCCTTCCTCCCCTTTCTACTCCCTCTCCTCATATTAAAGTACAAGGATAATTAAAGCCTAGTGTGGTGGCTCATGAGCTCTGATCGTATCATCCAGGAAAGCCAGGCAGGAGACTTGCCAGGAGTTCTAGGCTAGCCTGAGCTATGGAATGAGACCTTGTTTTTTTTTTTTAAATAGGGCTCTGGAGAGATGGCTCAGTGGTTATGAGCACTTGCTGTTTTTTTTCAGAGGACCCAAATTTCATTCCCAGTACCTACTCAGAGTGGCTCAGAACTGCCTGTAACTAGTTGCAGGTGATCAGAAACCTCTTGCCTCCACCAGCACCCACACAGAGACACACATATACACATAATTTAAAACATTTTTATTATTTTGTATTTTATGTGTATGTGTGTATTGCCTACATGTGTGTAAGTGCACCCGTGTTGTGCAATATCCTGGGAGGTCAGAAGAGGGCATGGGATCCCCTGGAACTGGAGTTACAAACAGTTGTTAGCTGCATGTGGGTGCTGGGAATCGAACCTGCGTCCTCTACAAGATCAGTCAGTGCTCTTAACCACTGAGCCATCTCTCCAGTTTCACACATACACATAATTAAAAATAAAATATATCTTAAAAAAACAGAATGGGGGAGAAATAAGATCTCACCCCCTCCCCCATCTCCACTGTTGCTTAAGGCCTGGCTTCCCAGCTGGCAGACTGTCCCATACTGGGGACTTTGCTATTGCAACCACTCAGATCACAATCGTAATCCGGGCCCTTTTAGTATCAGCTGTGTCCAAAGGCTTGCTGATTATTTTTCTAGGAACGCTGAGGCCTGGCACCTGCGTGCAGCTGACCTAGCAACGAGTGGGCCAGGGGTCCCCGCCCTCCGCTGCATTTCCAGGCAGTTCCTCACAATTCCCAGAACTGGAGAACAGGAAGTGCCAGTAACTGGAGGCGTTTCTGGACTCAGGAATGCAGAACAGGGGCAGAGGATGTGCAGCAGCAGTAAGGGTCCCTAAGCAGCAAGAACTCTTCAATAAACCGCCCCCCCACTACCCTGCAGCCTCTCAGGTTTGTTGTAATTTTTCCAACAAAACATACCCAATTATTTCATTATTTCTTATACTAATAAACTTGGGAACATTCATGTGTAGGGTTCCTGGAGGCAACATTTGAACAGGAAATCTGCCTTCCGTGGAGGGGGTTATTTGCATAATGTACTGGAAAGAAAACGCAGCTCTCAAACCAGACTTGGGAACATTTTTTAAAATACGTTTTGCGGGTGTTTGGAAAGAATTTTACTTAAGATATCCTATTATTTCTCCCCCGGGAAAGAGACGCCAGAAGAAGAACAGAAGAGCAGGCTGGAAAGGTTAGAGCCTGAAAACCTCCCACGTTAGCCAAAGTGATTTTTAGACACCATACATTTGTAGAGATTTAATCCCTTTGGGTTTGTACTTTTTGAGCATTATTTCTTCCTTTGAATGCCTGTGGATTCTTTAAAATTTAGCTTTTTCAGAAAAAGCATTAAAAGTCATCTTAATTTTTTTCATTCTTTACTTTTATTTATTTTTTATTTGAGACAGGATTTCATATAGTCAGGTTGGCTGCATTCGTTCTTTGTAGCCAAAGATGACCTTGAACTTCTGATCCTGCCTCTACCTTCCAAGTACTAGAATTACAGGTGTGAGCCATCATGGCTACTGATCTTAAATTACACCACAGCTGTAATATTATGTAACATTACAGTTACAAAATTACCTGAATAGCAATGACAAGTCATTTGTAAACAATTGCTGTCATGTCTCCTCTCCCTCCCTCCCTCCCTCCCTCTCCTACCACATATTAAATAAATAATTTGTTTGTTTGTTTGGAGACAATGTCTCCTGTAGCCAAGGCTGGCCTTAAGTTTGTTCTGTAGCCAAGGATGACCTCCTATCTCAGTCTCCCAAGAGGCAGGATCATAGGTATGCACCATCATGCCCAGCTAATACATACTTTACAAAAATGTTTTGAAATATCTTGTTTCTCATGTTTATTAGTTTATTTTTATACATTCGTTCTATATGTGGGAAGGTACATTTCTTAAAACAAACACCCAAAAATAACTTCACAAAGGATAAAGAATGACATGTGTCACTGTTACTATTGTGTTGGGTCAAAGTTGGGTTAACTTTAGTTCTTAAAATAGAAGTGATTGAGAAAAATCCAAAGCAGAGTAAACATTCAAATATAGTACAGGCTCACATCTTGTTAACCCCTGGGATTATGTTCCTGTTAGGGCAACACTAAGTTTATATGGGAATGTTGAGGAGCTCCCCAGCATCACACAAAGACACGTTGGTTCCCTGACAGCCACATGATCAGATGAAACGTCTTATTATTCCCTGACTTTTGCTTAAACTCTTCCTGAAAACACTTACACAAGTCAGTCTGTGCTATTTTTGGAGAATAAGTTACATAAACATAACTTTTGCTGGCCCAATAACAAGTTATTATGTTTTTACTTAGTCATTATTTCATCTATCTATAAATATTTTCTTAGTGTTGCAAATCCAGTAACTCTAGGTATAATCCTGAGGTTTGATCAATTAGTCAGAGGTTTAGGGAAGTGGTTTAGGATGGAGGGTTTTTTTTTTGTTGTTTTTTGTTTTTTTTTTGTTTTTTTTTGGTCTTTTTGAGACAAAGTCTCTCTGTAGCTGCAGCTGGCCTGGCTTTGCTAATGGAGAACAGGCTGGCTTTGAACTCATGGAGATCCACCTGCCTCTGCCTCCTGAGTGCTGGGATTAAAGATGTGCACTACCAAGCCCGGCTTTTTTTTTTTTTTTTTTTTTTTTAAGTAGGCTTTAGAATAAGGAACATTAAATAAATCCAACCTAGTATAAAAGATAAAGATTTTCTTTGCAGACTAGGAAGATGGCTCGACAGTTAAGAGCACTTGCTATTCTTACAGAGGCCCCAAGTTCAGTTCTTAGCATTCATTTTGGGTGATTCACAACTGCCTGCTACTCCAGCTTTGGGGATCTGACATCCTCTTTTGGCCTCCTAGGGCACCGGGACAAACATACACACACACACACACACACACACACACACACACACACACACACAAAGGCATAAATAAAAAAAATTTAAAAAAATATTTTAGAAAAGAATAGTTAAAACTTTCTCTTTGAGGTTACGTGTTTTAGGAAGCTACTACAACACAGTTTAGAAAGGGCAGGTGGCAAATGAACTCAAGCACATGAATTCCATACCTGTGAAACTTTGAAGAACTGATTCAATCGACCTATTGAAACTTTATTTTTTCTTATAGAAAATTCAGGAATAATGGTCATTTCATCATATTTTTATGAGAATTATAATACAGCCTGTCACAGATCACACACGCACACTCACACACACACACGGTAAATAACCAAACGTAATAAACTGTGGCTCTAATCTGAAAGAAGGTCCCAGCAAGTTTGCAATAGGCTCATGTTTCCCAATGCAAAATAGAATATTCTTGGTTATTCCTTTTTAAAGAACAATATTCTGAACTTCTGAATAATAATCCTATTAAAATATGTACCAAACTTTTGAAAATGTAAACTGAGGAAAAAAATGTTTATCTAATGACTGGCATGACAAACTCGAGCCTCTCCCTGCACAGCCAATGAAGTGCACAGGAACCAGCCTGTTTGTATTCTACATGGCACATAAACAATCTTGTCCACAGAAGTCCTGAGGGTTCACTCGGAGTAGGTCTGTCACTGGTGGCAAACATAAAATAGATGCCAAGGAAGGGTGAAAGGCTTAGAGAACCCATCAAGGAGGGTGTAAAAGAATACATTAGAAGCAAAGCGAATGCTTGGGTTAGAATTGCTAAGCTTGCAGAGACTTGAAAGCATTAGTCTTTATTTTAATTCCAGATGTGTGTTGGTGGTACTAAGTCCTTTGATTTAAGATTTCAAAAGATCTGTAAACAAAAAGCTGGGAAAGAATACTTATGGACTGATTAGGATTTTTGTTTGAAGGATGCTGGGTGTTTCATCATGAAAGGAAGCCCGACTAACCCATATCTTTCAAAGCAAAGCTTTTCACAGAAGGGCTTGGTTTAACTTATTTCTCAGTAGCGAAGTTGCACCAGCAACTGTGCAGGTGGGGAAAGTATTGCTGAGAGGGTCCCCTTCCCCCTCAAACACACCTTGAAAGGAGAGCTCAACTTTCCAAACCCTTCTATTGATCTGTGGAATACAAAGATGAATAAGTCACGGTGTCTGACCTTAACAACAGCTCATGCTCTAATATGGTCACAGATGAGATGGAAATGCAAATACAGAGCAAGACGTAAACCAATTTGGGGATTCCAATGAGGCTTTCTGAAAGATAAAATTCCTGAACCAGTTTACTGGAACATGAGGAGTTAGGTGAGTGAGACTGGGTGAGAGGCAGACTCAGGGATGATGGAATTCTGGGCACTGGTGACAGCCTGATCAACCTCATGGAATTGGATGATCATAAATGTGGGTGTGTAGGTATTGAGGGAGTAAAGACCAGGGTAGAAGCCTATTGGAAAGGAGAGCAGAGAATCAGGGATAAGCCAGGTCATCAAAGGCTGCTTGCATTATGAAATATATTGATTGTAATCTATAACAATGGAAATATTGAAGAACTTGTAAGAGCGAAGTCCCACAGCAAGGTTTCATCTCAGCACATTATAGTGACTCCAGTCTAGAAAATGGACATGAAGTATTCAAAAGAGAACAGTTAAGAAGAAATTCAAATTGTATATGCCAGTGATGCTAAGAACCTAAGTGAGGATTGAGAAGAAAGATAGGAGGAAAAATGGGCAAAAGTGAGAAGCTAATGCCTTTATAAAACCATTTTGTAAAATTGTGTGCCAGTGGAGGAAAATGACTTAGCAGGTGTAGACAAGCAATTTAACTTGTTAAGAGGGTGATGCAGTGGTTGGATAAACATGGCTATATCCAGCAAGCATGTGAAAGAATCCAGGCTATTGATAAAATGCTCTAAATTCTCACCAAGCAAATAATTGTTAAATATGGGAAAGAACTCATTCATTGATTGATGGCTCCATGGTCAGTTTCTTCCTGAGCACCTATTAACCAGAGCTGTTACAGGGCAGGCCCTGTTCTAGGCTCTGTGGATGCAGCAGTGAACAGTCTGTTTCCACACAGCATGGATTCTATAACCTAGACCGAGCAGTGCATTGGGTCAGGAAGTGGGTAGAGAAAGAGGGGATCCCATAGAGACCAGGGAAGCGAGAGGAGGAGCAGGAGGAGCAGAGAGGCAGGGGGAACAGGGGGAGCAGCACCTAGAATTTGATGAAAGAGAAGCTGTGCATGGCACACCTGTAATCCCAGCAACTGAGAGGTGGAGACAGGAGAATCAAGAGTTTAAGGAGGGAGTTCAAGGAGAGAGAGATGAGAGAGAGAGAGAGAGAGAGAGAGAGAGAGGAAGAGAGAGAAGAGAGAGAAGAGAGAGGGGAGTCAATGTTCTCAAATATGCTAGAAATGTGGAGTAAAATAAGATCCAAGAAAGGAAGAGGTCTTTGGGTTTAGCAATATACAAACTACTGACCTGAGTAAATGCGGCTTTAATGAAGCAGAGAGGTGAAAATTAGTAGCAATGTTCAGCCTGAAGGAGGCAGAGACACTGAATATAAAATATACATAAGAGAGAGGCTGGAGAGACGGCTCAGTGGTTAAGAGCACTGGCTGCTCTTGCTGAGGATCTGGGTTCTATTCCCGGCACCCACATGGCAGCTAACAACCATCCATAACTCCAGATCCAGGGAATCCAACGCCCTCTTCTGACGTCCATGGGCACTGCATGACACAGGTGCACTTACACACATGCAGGCAATACACTCATACACATAAAATAAAAATAATAAAATATTTTAAAAATATGCTTAAGAGAGAGACAGGATGGAACCCACATGGAAGGGAGACTGTTCGTCCCAGCCATCTTGAAAGCTCTGTCCTGTGCTCTTTTCTCACTAGCAGTGGGCTGGTGACACTTTCACTTTCATACTCCATCACCAACTAAAATTTACCAACCAACCAAAGCATCAGTGGTCTTTATTTCATCGCACCATCTCAGGATTCTTAGACACAGTGACTTTAACCCTTTTCCATAATTTTGATATCTGATACTTGCTAATTATCTTGGTTAGTTTAATCATTGATCTGCATTTATGGGTTTTTTTTTTTGGCTTGTTATTGTTATTGTTGTTTTGTTTTTTCAGATTGGCCTGAGGTCATGCCATCTTGCTTCAAACCCTTGAGTACTGCGATTATAAGCTTACATCATCCAGTTTGGGTAATCTGCCCTTTCTTTAATTTTTGTTGCTGCTTCTCCTCTCTAGACCCTTAATAAGTTTCACATAGTCTATTTGCCTGTCTATCAAAAGCTCTCTTCTTAAGTTTGCTGAATAGTCCATCGTATTCTTTGTTTCCAAAATAGTCTTGCTAAAACACATTTTTTCCCATGTTACTCCCCTGATCTAAAGGCTTTGAGGAGTTTCCAGGGTCAACCAAATTAAGTACAAATTCAGGATGGTGCTAACTCTAATTTCTGCACAATATAGTTCTAATCAGTCTTCCCTGTCTTGTAATCATTTTCCTGTAAAAAGTAGCCTCAGATCCAATCAAATTGGCCTGATCATTTATTCCTAATGCATTCAATTATCCACCTTTGATCACAGTTCTTCAGAATGCCCAAATTTTACCTCTTAAATTTGCTTCCCAGGTTAATAATCTCTTTTGCATATTTTTTGTAGATTCCACACTATTTTCATGCCTTGAACACTTTACCTATAGTGAGATTGTGTTGCAGATATATTAGTATTTTGCATATAATCCCTGCCACACTTTAAGATCTGTGTAAACCGAGATTTTATTTGACATAATTTTTATTATCAGTATCCTACATAGAACACAAAAGAGTTATTTAATAAACTATTAGATAAATGTAAGTCAACTTCTCAATATATCAAAACATAAAATTGTGAGGCTGAGGATGTAGTTCAGTTGGTCATGTGACTACCTAGCATGCACAGAGCCCTGGGTTTGATCCCCAGTACTGCATAAATAGGGCATGGTGGTGCATGCCTCTAATCCCAGCACGTGGGAGGTAAAGGTAAGATGATCAGAAATACAAGGTCACCCTCAACTACATAGCAGTTGGAGGCCAGCGTGAGCTACATAAGAACACCCACCCACACACATTATATATATATATATATTTGCTATTTGCTATTGGCCCCACATCCTGGCTCTCTGTTTCTGCCTTCTTTCCAGTTCATCCTAACACCTGTTTGGCAAGCCTGAGTTGAGTCATCATCCTTGTCAACAATGTCCCTGAATTTGGCACAAGCTTTAGTGTCAAAGTCAGAGAAGTCTTTCCAGTCTCACAAATTTATGAGTCTATAGTCCAAGGAAAAACTAAGAGGAGGCTGGAGTTGCCCACTTGGCCTACCAGTCGGAAGAGGCAGATGGTGTTGCTGGTGACGTTGTAGTGGTTCAGCACCTCAGAACTGTTGCTGATTCCAAATGATATATCTTGGAATTGTTGCGCCATGCTACGGAATGTGGACACTAGTGGTATTTCTAAATCCTAAAAAACAAGGGGAAAAACCCCACAGAGATAATATTTGAGGGACGAGGCATAAAAGAGAGAAGGGAAATGTGCTCACCCACACCAGAAATTACAGGTTTGAGTCACTCTAACGAAGCAAAAATTACCTTTAGAAATTTAGGCTAAATTTAATGTGGCATGTTTTAATTTCCTAGACTTCTTGAGTGGATAGGTTACTATCAAAAATTGTGCCCAAGCCTGGGGTTTTCATGTATCCTTATCACAGAGCTTGAATAGCTGACTGAAGCCTTGGGACCCAGAGGCCTGTGAAGTTGGGCTGTCCTTCCATTCATCCACACAGGGAAGCAAATGTTTCAGGAATAATTTGTGGAGGAACAAGCTGCAAGACAGGTGCTTAGCATGGTCATCGAGAAAGGCTTGTGCTGGGTGTTGAAGAACAGGCCCCCTCCTCCTGAGGTGCCTTCATGAGCTTTGTGCATGAAGATGCTGGTTCACACATCTGGCCGCATCCCAGGCCTGCACTTAAGCACCAGGAAGCCACTCGTAGACACTGGCACCCATTTCCCTGCTGACCCAGGACCTTAGTCTACAGGAACTCCAGGCAATAAACAGGAGTATGACTATTCTTCCTTTATCTCACTGGGCTGAAGAAGATCTGCCAGGAGAAAAGAGGAAGGGTAATCTTGCATCTAGGGTTAAGGGGAGAGAGATGGCACCTTGCTTTTCTGAAAAGGGAGAGTATTGTTAGCTGGAGGCTGTGGACATTTGTTAATGGAGGCTCCCTGGTTTGCAATCTGGTCTCTTAAATAGAAGCGTTCAAGGACTCAATGGCGGCATCTGGTGGCTCTTTATGTTACTGCACTCTTCCTGTTCTATGCTTTTGCCCACCTGTCACCAAAAAAAAAAAAAAAAAAAAAAAAGTGCTTCCTCTCCCCCTTGCATGTCACGGCAGCTGTTTCCAGCTATGTACACAGAATGGACAGGGTGACCGTGAGTTAGAATCAAGGAACAGAGACGTAGACAAGAAGGTCTGAAGCAAGAGTAAGAGCCGGGTTTGCTGGAAGGATGGCCAGATGCTTCCGCCAGTCAGTGGGCAAGTCCACCTTGTTTATGGCTGACTGTTAGCCAGCAGCCAATTTGGAAGATGGTGGCGATCACTTCAATAGATAAAAATCAACCTTGATCATTCAGAGGAAGCAAGGGGAGGGACCAATGAGGGGCTACTTACTTGGTTTAGGGGCTTTAGCACATGCCATGAAATGTGTTGCCAGGTCATAAAAGGTGGGTTTAAACTGGCTCTGTGGCACATTACTGTTGTCTTATTACTCAGGGGCCAGAGGCAGGAGGATCATAGGCTGCATAGTTCCAAGCTAGCCTGGGCTATAAGACTTTATCTTAATCAATCAATCAAGGTGGGTTTCCTCTGGCTTCTGCCTGTTTACAGGGCACTATGGGTACACACTAAGGGTATTTAGGACAATGGTGAAGGCTTGCTTCCTGTGGACACCTACTTTACTTCAAAGCATTCAGAAGAAAGGAGACCTAGCCAGCAAATGAGCAAGTTTGAGAAAATCCTGATGAGAGAGAGAGAGAGAGAGAGAGAGAGAGAGAGAGAGTTTTGTTAATGTAATGATGAAGGGTCTCAGATGAAAAGCTAAAAGCAGAGTCAGCCTTCTTGTTTCCAATGCAGACAGGCCACTCTCATGGCTCCCTTAAGGCACAGCGTGTCTGGTCTCAGAGGGAGGGCAGGTAGGGTATTCAGACAGACCTGGAAGAAGCCTACGACGGCCACCTCAGCAGCAGCGATCAGTTCCACAGCAGAGGGGACATCTGTGAGCCACGTGGGTTCCCGGGTAGTGCTGAGACCATCTATAGTAAGAGGGGGAGTGTGCGCTGAATGGAGAAAAAAGCAGCCCTAAATAAAGGATTATCTCATATACTTTTCTTTTCTATAGTAATGCCAAGGACATTTCATTTCTGGGCATCTTGCTACCATTCTAAAGCTTTGTTTTTTGCTAACATATGGAAGGCAATCTTACCTTATGCTCTCTGTCTCTCAAGGACACTGTTAGACTTCTGTCCTCTCTACTAGGCAACACACATCTTTACCTAGAATTTTCTGGAAATTTTTCTAGTTTGCAATGAAAGTACTCAGAGTACATACATGTTCTCTCTCCTCCCAATGACACATTTTCTTAAGGTCACCCAGTTACTGTTTTCTTTTACCTGAGGATCCTTCAACGTCTGCAGTAACTTCTGAACCCAGCACACACATGAGGACCAGTAAGAGAGCCAGGCATCCAGATCTTGTGGATTTTATTGTTCTCATTGTCCTGCTCCAACCCTAGGTGTAGAGTTTTGAGCTGCTGATTCGGCACAGCCTTCTCTGTTCTTAATTGACTGTGGGTTATTAGTGCTCTGGGAATTTTGCAGCTGGTTCTCGGGGAAACTTCAGCTTCTGAGATAAAAGACCAAGCTTGGTGGCAGGGCTTCAGAACATGACCAACCAGAAGAAAGTCAGCTCAGTTCACTTAAACAATAAGAAAGCAAGTAACCTATGCCAGGTATTGATTTAAGCACCAGGGATTGAAATATCACTGTGAGCTGATCCAGTGTCTCTCAGCTTAGATTGTTAATGGGAGAGGTGAGAAATAGATCATTTAAATATAAAACACAAAAATTCATAGGCTGTTGTGATATAAAGAATAAAGATGGACTGGAGAGATGGCTCAGCGGTTATGAGCACTGGCTGTTCTTGCAGAAGACCCAGGTTTGAATCCCAGCATCCACATAGTGGCTAACAACCACCTGTAATTTCAGATCCAGGGGATCCAACGCCCACTTCTGTCTTCCTCAGGCATTGCATGACATGGGTATACTTACATACATGCAGGCATAACACTGATACACATAAAATAAAAATAAATTCTAAAGCAAAAAGACAACCCTTCCGGCAATGTAGGGCTTGATGAAGGGTTCTGCTTGCACCTAAGTAGAAGCAGAATCCTGAGTAAGTAAGAGTTTTCCAGACACCGCGTGGGAAGGGGACATATGGCCTTCCCAATGTTGTAATGCAATATTATGCTAACAAAAGCAACTTAGAGAAAGAAAGTTTGTTTTGATTCCCAGGTTGAGGGTGCAGTCCATCATGGAAAGAAGGCGTGGAGGCGGGAGCTTGAGGCAGCTGGTCACACTGCATGTACAGTCAGGATGCAGAGCGAGTGAATGCTGGTGCCTGGCTGGCTTTGTCCATTTCATTCAGTCCGAGGACCCAGCATGGAGTGATAATACCCACATTTAAGTAGATCTTTCCATCCCAGCTAACCCAATCTAGAAACTTCCTCACAGACATGCCTATAGGCTTGTTTCTTATGTGGTTCTCGATCCTGTCAAGTTGATAATATCAGCCATGACAAGAGGTTTCAAGGGAAGAACCAAAATACAGAGATGCAAAGATGTAATGTCCACGGACATTAGTCACTGGGAATTTTGGAAAGAGTGATAGATGTGGGAAAGTATGAAGGCGACTGTTTAGCAACAGACAACTGTTGTAACTAAAGTAACACAGAAGCCTTCACTTCGTTCAGTAGGTGATGGGACTCCCGCCTCACCCCCGAGGTCTTAAGGAGAAAGACAATGTTTGGTTTGGCTCCCAAATCACACTGAAGATGAGATCCCTACAGGCATGGGATGTATGTCTCAAGTTTAGAAGAAACGCCCCTGAGTAAATATTATACAACACATGAAACTTAGAATGTTCACTGTCTTTATCCTCACAATCATTGCCTGTTATAGTGTAGCATTCTGTTGATAAGAATACAAATATCTCCTGCACTGTGAATCCTACCGCTGCCCTTACCCACCAAATTGAAATGTGGACCTTCTGGTACCGTATTTGCTTGAGGGAAGAAAGCAGGGAAATGAGGTTCTCAGCCACACAAACAGTTGTTTTATTCCTTTTCTAATGTTGTTTGCAGTGTCTCCCACAGAAGAAGAAAAGAGTCCCAACGGGTAGGGAAATTGACAAAGGGATTCACTGAGCCTGAAGAACCCAGTGGTGAGAATGAGCTATTGAACCGAAGGCCAAGGGTCCTTTAGTGGTAGCTTGGCCATTTCCTGGCCTTTGGTTGCTCTAATGGGAAGAAGAAAGGGCAGCATTAAAGGAAATGGAGAACTTGGGTGATCTGGCCCTGCTTGGGGCGAGGGGGTTAGAGCCGGCAGGCAAGGTTGTAGCCTAGGTTTGAAGCCTCATGTGCAGGGAGTACTTTGAGAGACAGGGTCGTTTAAAAATTTATTATTTGGAAACATGGGGGTGGGGTGATGGAGAACGGGCTCAGCTGTGAACAGAGGGAGGAGGGGACAGCACGACCAACATGGATGGGAGGGTTCTTCGGGGTGGGAAGGGCAGCATGAGAGCTGGGCAGATGCTCTCATTCTGTCCAGTCCTTCTTGATGGCCAGGTTCCATTCCCAGGTGAGGTGGTCCTGTTTGTCATCATCGGTGAAGAACGACTTGTTGTGATACGTGCCTCGGGCCAGCATGCCCTTGGGAGCCTCTTCTACGGGAGTGAGAAACTCATATTCCTCTGGCCGAGGGCCATAGCTGCCAACCATAAATGTCGCTTTATCCACTAGGAAGAAAGAGAAGTCCGTGAGACAGAAGTCTGATAGAAAAACATACTGCAATGCATCGGAGTTCAAACAAAAGCTTGGAGGACAGCTCACATTGATGGAAGCCGAGAGCGAGTTTCCAAGCCTGGCTGAACATTGGTTTTACCTGGGGCATAGTTTCTTTTTCTTAAAACAGTTTTTTTTTTTTTTTCTAAGCCAGGTATGGTAGTGCACAACTCCATTTCCAGCACTGGGGAAAGCTGAAGCAGGGGGATCATGAGTTTGAGACTAGCTTAGGTGACACATGGAGACCTTGTCTCCAAAGACAGATAACCCCTCCAAACAGAGAGACTAAAGTATTTTAAAATATAAATTATGTTTTTTTTTTAAAAAAACTTTTTCAGACTGTGTCTTCCTGTAGCCCCAGCTGGCCTGGAACTCACTATGTAGACCAGGCTGGCCTCAAACTCACAGAGATCCGCCTGCCTCTGCCTCCCAAGTGCTGGGGATGAAAGGTGAGTGCCACCACGCCTGGCAAAATATGAATTACTTGTATCATAATATGATTTACTTTGCTATCTCCCCACAGCCCAAGGCTGTGGTTCAGCAATGTGTTCTGGATGCCCAAATTCAGTCTTTTAAAAAAGTTTTTAAGAGGATTCTGATTATTAAGAAAGCCGTACAGTAGTGCCTTAAACCAGTGGTAAGGACCATAGAGATGACACTGTGGCACATTGCACCATTAAGAAAAAAACCAAGCAGACAGACAGACAGGTAGACCAACAAGTGAAGGCCCAAGGTCTGGTCTCTGTCCTGTAGCTAACTAAACCTTATAAGATTTGAAGCCCCTTTCCTTCTTTGTATCACAGACTTTAAGGATTTCTTGTTTAGAAACTATCATTCGACAAACATATTAATTGCAGGGTTGCTGTAAAAGCTGGTGATCAGAATATGTAGAATTCACAAATGCAATAGTTGGATGGGAAGGAAAGAGTCCTGTAAATTGATCAAACATTTTTAAAAGGGAAAATTGGCAAGAATGGTAAAAATAGTTAAAAAAAAGGAAAAGAAAAGATAAGGGATTGGAGAGATGGCTCAGCGATGAAGAGCACTGGCTGCTCTTACAGATTTCTAGAACCCACATCTCAGCTAACAACCGTTTTTAATAATTCCACTCCCAGGGGATCCAATACCTTCTTCTGGCCTCTGTGGGCATTACATGATGCAAATGCACTTACACTCATGCAGGCAAAACACTCACACACATAAAAAGAAATAAAAAGAAATTAAATGAAAATAGACAAATTTACTTTTAAGTGAGCCACTGGCATGCATATATATATTCAGAACAGGTGGGGATTAGTAGCCCAGAGGTAGGGGGCAGTTGGCCTTTCAAGTGTTGCCAAGTTTGAAGGAACAGCTGTACACACGTCACAGGCTGCTTCTGAAGTGAGTCAGCTCAGCCTCTGTGCCCAAAGGAAATAGAAAATTGAGCAGGGTTTTCATGAGACCAGGTAGCGGAAAGGCCTGGCACCACTTCTCAGTTCCCCAGTCTTCTTTGGAATTGATTAATTGTTTGGTTCTAACGTTCTACAATTGTGTCAAATACTTTCTCCTGTCTCCTTTGTTAATTTAAGGGGCTACCTTGCGTTTCACTGTCCCTACCTCTGGCGAGGGGGGCCAGGTAGACCAGAAAGGACTGTAGTAGTGTCTGAGTTACCTCCCTGGCCAAGGGATGTCCAGAACCACAGAAGCATGACTATGTTGTTACATGTTTCAATCAGACTGCTTTTCTCAGTCCTAGAGAGAATTTTTTCCTATTTCTTTGTTAGGAGTTTGAATACATGTCCTCTGCCCCTCCTCTCCACAGTACCCCATCACCTACCACCAACATATAGATCCTTGGGAAGCTCTTTCTTGTCTTGGAATTTTCTGTTATGGTTTCACATTGTGCACTATGTCTTACTTTTGTATTTTTTGTTGTGTGTGTGCACGCCCATGTATATGTGCATATTTATATGAGTGCACATGTGCACACGTGCTCGTGTGTGTGCGTGTGCGTGTGTGTGCGTGTGCACGTGTGCGTGTGCGCGTGTGCGTGTGCGCGTGCGCGCGTGCGTGTGTGTGTGTGTGTGCGTGTGCGTGTGTGTGTGTGTGTGTGTGTAGTCTAGAGTTCAACCTCAAGTGTTGTTTCTCAGGTGCTGTCCACCATGTATTTTTTTAGACAGGGTCTTTCACGGGCCAGGAACTCACCAGTTAGGCTAGGCTGGCTGACCAGTGAGCTCCAGAACGCCTTCTGTCTCAATATTTTCAGAGCTGGGATTACAAGCGCACACCACTATGCCTGGCTTGGATTTTTTCACATGGGCTCTGGGGATCAATCTTAGGTCTTCAGGCTTTTATCCCTTTAGCTTTTCCGTGTTTGCTAAGAATTTTTATAACCTTTGCCTCATTCCAACTTATCTTGGTTACTCTTGTCATACATGAGTAATAAAGTTGAATTCCAGATTCTGAATGTTGAAGACCAGTGTCTTGTCTTGCCTGAATTTGGTATCATGAATGTTGGACCTAATGTCTAGGCCCGAGGTACCTGTTTACCTTTTTCTAGTGTGGGTATCTGTACCCTTTATCTAATTTTCGTAAGGGCTTATGACCGAAGATTGCTAATAACTAGGGGTGGAAATATCAGCAAGTAGTTTAGGGGAAGTTCCTTACCTTTCATCCCAGTCCGGTAGGTGTGCTGAACGTATTTCAGACCCGACACAATATCCTTGTTCACCTGTAGGTGGGAAGTCCCCAAGAAACTGAGATTAAACAGTCTTCATTTTTCTTGTCCATCCTGTCTAGCTAAGTCTTCTCTGAGGCTGAAGGGACTAAGGACTTAATCAGAATAAGGACTTATATAATCAGTGTGGTTGTGGAGCAGAAATGGGGGAGAGAGAGAATCACAACACTCAGTGTTGCAAAGGAAGGTTAATCATTGACTGCTGAAATATTATTGGGGTTATTTTTTAGGAGGTAGAGGAGTATTAATTAAAATGCTGTCTCAATATTCTTTATATTTCTTCTTCCTCAATGGCTTGAGGTATCATCCTTAGCCTTTTCTCCCACCAGTGAAAACACTGCCCTTGTCTCAGAAAAAGTTATAACAAGACCAATGGAAAATTTTATGTAAGTGTGTGAATATCATATCCTCAGAAATGAATCACCTAGCCTATGAAAAACAAACAACAGGGAGAATAGTGGTAATGGAAAATCAGGTCTAGGAGAGGGTTGTGTCTGCCGCTTAGCTGAGATTGGAGCCTCGAGGTGAGGTGACGGGCCACGCCAAAGCACCCTTTCCCATAAAGGATGGATGAAGTCCACTGGTACCTGGCAAGCATATTCAGGGTCTGTCTCAGGGCTTCACCTGACGTAATGCTACTTTCCCAAAACGTTCAATGAAAAATCCACTAGGGCAGAATGAAAATATCGACAGCCTAGCATTTGGTTTTCCATGATACATTTTACCTGGGCCTGAACTGGGCTGTCTTAATTTCACAGTGTCCATGTCTATATAAACAAATTAGAGAGGACATTGAGTCATTAGTTGAAGGGTTTGGGGAACCATTCAGCAATATGAAGAATTAAGGCCTCTTCAAATAACTTTTCCATCAATAATTATGGCTCCCTCTATGTGATGGCATGACAGTGGAAACCAATCTGCTAATGCGTTTCTCACTGTACTGATGGCAAGGTGGCAGAAGAGTGAGTTTGCTAGCTTGGATTCTAAATGGTCACTAGGTTAGTATGTATGAAAAAGCAATTAAAACCACGTAGAATCCGTTGGCGTTCTATTGGAGAGACTGTGATAAGATGAAGCTCAAACTTCCCAATTACTCTGACTCTCAGTGGTAGCTCATAGGGATATGATAAATGTACAAGTCTTCAGCTTGGGTCCAGTGGGAGATGTGTTCAGGTAGGAAAAGACTTGAGAACAGGAAAGGCTGTGGGGTAGTAATAAGAGCTTTAAAACAAGGCGTCTCCTGCTGATCAGTGCTTCATAGAAGAGCCATTTAGTATAAACATATTTAGGATGGATAAGAAGATGAATATTTATAATCCCCTCTTCTGGCCACATCCCCTCTCCTCTGGGTGTTCTACCTCAAACGCAGGAAGTTTTGCAGACATGGAAAAAAGGGAAGTTTAAGGAAGTCAGAGGTATTCATCTCCACAGGAGGCAGGGGAGTTAGAGTGTTGTAAGATTTAGGAAGAAAAGAGAAGAACATGGAGAGTCACAAGACAGAGGATTGTTGGGTGTGTAACTGGTATTATAGATGCAGGTTTCCTTGAACATTCAGCAAGAGACCCTTTTTATTCCTTGTGATCTGTTGTTTCTTCTAACTGTAGCTCCAAGCTGGGATGAGTCACAGGATGACTCAGCTTTCCCTGGGTTACATAGAGAGTGGATTTAATCTTGGTGAAGACAAGGGAAAACCTCTGAAGTGCATTGGGCTTAAAGGTTTCTTTGTGCCTTGATGTGCAACTCTGACCACCCTGGACCCCCATTTACAGCCTGTCTCTTGTCTTTCTATTCACATCAAAATGCAAGCTTTCTAAATGGACAATGCAATAGGACAAACGGTTAAATATTGGACTGATGTGGAAGCCATTCTGGGCATTTTAGACAGGAGGCTTTACCAACATCCCAGGTGCCCTAGTAATAAATAACAGGACAGGAAGCAAAGCCACCCACAGTTCAAGTGCCAGTTGAGTAGGTGTCAACAAATATTTACAGGATGAATTTATTTGTATATGGTGGAAAGTGGTTGTCCAGCCACCCTGAATCATGTCCTACACCCAGGGGAAAGATGGGCCCTGTGTGCAAATAGAGACAGCAGATGGAGTCTCCCTTGGTGGAGCCCTGGAGAACATGACTGAATGGGGATGAGAGACAGCCAAGGCAAACAAACCGTGAAATGCAAAACAGTGTGTTTCTCACTTGTTTTTAAAGTTAAGGCTACTTTTCTGGTAATTGTTACTCATTGGGATATACATCTGTTCATGAGCTGTCAGCTGAAGCCTTATTTAGTTTTGCTATTATCTGGTCACCAAATGTCACTGAAATTTTCATCCACTTTGTAAAGACCACAGTCTCTGGATTTGTATGATCACTGAGAAATTGGAGTGTCCTATTTTCTCTTTCTATTAGTTGAATCATTTATTTGTCCATTTCTTAGTATATATATATTCATAATCATCTACAATTTACAAAATCATATGAAATAGTGGCATGAAGGGGCACAAAGTTTTACCCTTGCCGTTAGGTGCTTAGATTGTGTAAGGAGGAAATGGCACAATACATGGTGGTGTGTGTTTTGTAGATGTATCAGGACTCCTCTCACAGAGACAATGACCTTATGGGTTTAAGTGATAGAGGGAGAGGCTGAGGTAGCTTGGCTGGGGAAAGGCAGGAAGCAAGGATGAATCTCCACAGGGAAAGTTTAAAAGTGGGAAACAGGCTATTCCAGACGCAGAGTGGGGCAAGGAAGAAAGAAACTACCACTAACAATAACAAAATACCAGCATAATAATGTAAAACGTGTAGTCATTGATCATGGGTAAGATTTCAGCTTTCAGGAAAAGATTCGGTACACATAGGAAAATACTTACTTTGAAGTTAATTTTGACTCTGTATTCAATACCTTCCTTTAGCACAAATGTTTCTTTTTTGAGGGCGTCAATATCCCCTGTAGAAGAGGATTTAGAAAGTTTAGTCTCTTCAAAAGCAGCTACAGAAAGAGATGAGTGAAATCTAAGGTTTAGAGCCACATTCTGAGCCCATTCTAGGTTATAGATCCCTGGAACCTTAATTTAAATAGTATTTGAGCTTCTGACCTCTATATACACAAATGAATCACACACACACACACACACACACACACACACAAACACATGCATACACATACATCGGCTGAAATCTTATAGCTCAGTTATTAAAGAAATATGGTAGAGGATTTTTCCTCCAAGTTTGATGTCAATGCCAAAACTATACACCATCATCACTAATTATTTATGAAGATAAATTTTCTTTCTGAACTTCTGATTTGTATTGATGAAGATAAACATTTTCTGTCAATAATAAAAAGTTTCAATCAACCATCCTAGAGGTGAGTTATCTTTTCAGTCTCTCTGTTGAAAATTGCATACATATATGTAGTCAGATGAAGAAGTGGATAAAGAAATGATTCTTGTACCTCAAACAAAGAAACATCAAAAAACCATGTAAGAGCACTAGCTTTTTGTTTTCAGAGATTTCATAATGCATATGGTCTTTTATAGCTTTATAACTTGTTTTTATTTTTAAAAATTATTCTAAATAAGATTTACTTTGAAGTTACTTCCATATCCGTATTTGCAATTTCATATTATTTTTATTAAAGAATATCATTTAAATTGTAAAAGCTTCAGGGTCTACAGTCCCAGGGTCTATCCTGATTCCTATGTTCTGGTTAGGAAGGTGACGCTCCTCTGTTCTTTCTTCCATGTAGTTCTGTATAATTTGACATTCAAATGTCTGTGTGTATGCATGTGTGTGCATGTATGTGTGCATGTGTGTGCATGTATGTATGTGTATGTGGGTGAATGTGTATATGTGTGTGCATTTGTGTGCATGTATGTATGTGTATTTGTGTAGTTGTGTGCTTCACACAACTTTAGGCAAGTTCTTTGCCTCACGAATGGATTATATGGATCAGATTTGGGTTTTCTCTGCTGTGAAAGGCAACAAAGACCAAGCTTTCCTGCAATATCGTCAGACCTTTCTGAATGGACTCCTCAGCACTAACTCAGACTTAGTCCTGCAAACTGACGGTAGTACTTGGCCACATTACAACTGGGTATAGGAAGATAACTGAGTGTGGGTGAGAGGGATGCTGCAGCATGGGGGGGTGAATGTGTGTATGTGTGATGTCTGCTTTACTGACTTCAGTTGAACAGGAAGTGTGTCTCCTCAGCCTCTGCTTTCCTCCCTGTGACAGAAACATCCATATAAGGTAAAGTGTGCATATGCCCGGTGAGAGGGAAGTTCCTTGCTTCTGAGTTCTGTGCTAGCGTGCCTTTTTTGCATCCATGGAGTTCAGTTTTGAATCTGGCAACACTTTCCCCCACCAAGGTCTACCTTGGATGCCCTCAGTTTGGCTTCATAACCCCCTTCTTATACTTCACAGGTGCCCGCTTTCCCTGTCTTTGCCCATCTCCTCAAGACCTGCCTCAGAAAAGGGCTTCGCCATTAGTCACAATGAGACAAAAGAAAGAAGCACCTTACTTCACAGGAGAAACTGTTTATGGGACAGAACCAGAACTATAAGCCTAAAGGATATTTAGCAGAGGATTTCCAGTGTTATTCAAGAGGTCTTGGGTTGCTCTTCCCCTTCCGCTAAGGTTGTAGCTGGTGGAAGACTAACTCTTTCTCTGGTATCAGACCGTATAAATATTATAACTCTGGAGGTACACAGCTTTCTTCTAGATATTTCTCCCTCCAGTCTTTCTGATAAGAATAGTAATTTTTCTGTTATCATGTGTAAATGAAAATGTAAAGTCAATATGACACAAGTAAATATATCAGAAGCATAAACTGAGGACTACAGGGATGGCTCACTGCTTGCCATGTAAGCATAAGGACCAGAGTTTGATCTCCTGATCCCACATTCAAACAAAAAGCTGGGCCTGGTGGCACACTTTGGTAATCTCAGCTCTGGGGAGGTAGAGACAGGCAGATCCCTGGGCTGGCTGGTCAGTTAGCCTAACCCCATCAGCAAGTTTTAGGGCAAATGAGAGACTGTCTAAAAAACAAAGCGAGTAGCATCCTGAAGAATGACAGTTGAGGCTGACCTCTGGCCTCCACACACATACACTCACACACATGAACATGCACACACCTACACATATATACACACAAGGTGCATACCTCCTAACTGCTCAATTAAATTGAATTTTTCATTGAAGGTAAGCAATGGGCACTCAAAGTGCAATGGCTTGTGAACTGGTCTTAGCATATATGTCTCGCCTTAATAGAGTGTCCTTCAGTGTGGACTAGGGGCAAAGGTCAAGTTTTGACTGTGACATCCTAAGCCCCTCTAAACAGAGATATGCCTGTCCACTTACCAGTAAGGTCCATGGTGATTGGTCCTGGTGCACTGTCACAAACAAGGCTAAGCCTGGTAACTGTCACATTGGGGACTGTTGGGTCTGCAGGGTTCAAAAGAAAATGTCAGCATGGGGAAAGGACATAGACATAGGGTGTATGCATTTCAAGGGTTGTGGAGAGAGACTATAAAGAGAAACTGACATCTCCCTGTGTAGCAATAGAAACGGAGATGGCAGATTTATCATGCTTGGTCTTGGTCTCTTTAGAAATTGCAGCAATGTGATTTCTGATTCAAGCACTTGTTGGCTCACCTTTATCATCAGTATCAAATATTGAGCAAGGCTCTGTGGGTGAGGTTCTCTACTCACTGGGCATTGCCTGTTTAAGCCTTGGTGCTATGTCTTATTCTCTCTCTCTCTCTCTCTCTCTCTGTAATGAATAATTAGGGAACAACTTTGAAACAGAGAAAATGTAGAAGCTCAGGGAGAGAGGGGCAAACAATGGCATGATAGTCTGGAATTCTTTCTAAATTCTCTCTATGGGTCATTTTTGCCTGCCTCACTTCTGACATGAATACTGTCTCCAAAAAAGACTTCCTTATGCAGTCTGTGATTTTAGGCAGCATGTGTAAAGTGTATCTCTCCCACCTAACCCTGTGGCCCTTTGCTTCTGGCCCTGGGTGATACCAGCACGTGCATCGCTGCAGGTTTTCCACCGGTGCCTTCCCCTTTCCCTTTCTACACACCTGCTACCACAGGAACATCCCCCAGCAGTGTTTTCTTGTACTTAGTTAGACTCTCATCATCTTTATCCATCTCCTGTAGCTCCTTTAGGGACTTCTGAGGGGGAGGCTTGTAGTTGAGCTTGCTGTCGAGTTCATCGTCACCATCATCCAGCTGTGGCTGCGGGTCCTTTTCAGTCATCTCGATCTGTTTCAGAGGATGATGGTGAATTAGCCACTTGAGCTGTTGGTGGTAGGTACCGCCCTTGTCTTGTTGGGCATCTGGAATCATCAGTGATTTTCAAACTGTTCCTCAACACAATCTCATTACACTTCATGAGATAGGTAAGATTTTCAGTCATTTCTCTGATTTGCCCGTATCTTTATAGGAATGGGCATCTTTTTCACTGAACAAAACTTCTTAAAAATATTTTATTCACTTGTGAGACAGAGAAAGGTGGATCTCTGTGAGTTTAAGGCCAACCTGGCCTACATAATGAATTCCAGGCCAGCTAGTGTTACAGGGAGACCCTATGTCAAAAAGACCCACCCCAAATTTAATTAATTAATTAATTTGTTTGTTTGTTTGTTTAGCATATGAGTGTATTGCCTGCATGTATGTAAGTGCACCTGTGTCATGCAATGTCCACAGAGGTCAGAAGAGGACGTTGGATTTCCTGGAACTGGAGTTACCGATAGTTTTTATCCACCATGTGGGTGCTGGTAATCAAACCTGGATCCTCTGCAAAAGCAGCCAGTGCTCTTAACTGCTGAGCCACCTCTCCAGTTCCTCACTGAATAAAATTTTTAAGAAAAATCTCACTTGTGAACAATACACTACAGTGAAGAAACATAGTACAAACGATTCCAGACAATGGCCAATCATTCTGTTGATTGGTTGACACGCCCAACACCCACAGTCTGAGTTATGGAGAGTTAAGGAGAAAGAAGCAGCTGTGGTCAAAATGGCTGGTTTCTTTTCATTAACTTTCTTTCCTGAAACGTGTGCAGTTCCTCACAGGTGATTCCTAAGGAACTTCAGACAACAGAAACCTGCCTGAGGTGTGTGAATGCTCCCCACCCTAAGCTGCTGATCAGTTCTTGAGGGCAGGCACTAGGTTCTAGGTTTTTCTTGAGTGTTCCATAGTACTTAGTAGTTCTTATAAATTTCATTGATTCATTCCGCTTTGTATCTAAAGATCTCATGCTCCTTTAACACGCTACCAAATAGAAAGGACTCTTAAATTTTTCTAGGAATAATTGGAAGTACTAGTAGGATTTCTATCTACCTCCCCTTTTCTTTGAGTCTTTGGCTAACCCTTCCATGTTTCCAGTGATCTTCTGCTCTGGACACAACCCAGGATGGCTACGAATGTGGCTCAACACAAAATGATAAACTGACTTAAAAGATTAGGATGTTTAGCAATTAAAATATGTTTTATTGTATTAGTTTTAAAATTATATATCCATGTGTGTGTCTATGTGTGGATTTGTTCACATGCAGTGCTGCAGTTACAGGCTTCTGTGAGCCACCTGACATGGGTGCTGGGAATCAAACTCAGGTCCTCTGGAGGAGCAGCTCGGGCTCCTAACCACTAGCAGCTCGGGCTCCTAACCACTGAGCCACCTCTCTAGCCCCTTCAGCAATTTTTTGTAACTCGACTGTGTGGTTCTCGAGAATGAACTTAATACATGACGGCATTGTGTCATAATGTCAAAAGGTTGGACATACCTGCAAGGTCTTATCTGAGTGGATCATGGACGATCTTTCATTATCACTTATATTTACCTGTCATATGTAAAAATGCAGAGGGGAAACGCACTAAAATTATCCATGTGTGAATGCTGATGACTGTGTGTGGGTGTCGACACAGGTGAAATGAGGATAAAAAGTGGAACCATCTACTCCCTCATTAAATCCCTGAGAAAACTGAGACCAATGGATTAAGAGAATCGTCTATGTTCACACAGTTGTGGACTCGGGCTCTGTGGCTGGAAGCAAAAGGAGAGGCTGCCAGGAGATGCCTGGGCAAGAATGTCACCTTCTGATCTCTTCCTGGCCACCAGCAGAGCCTTCATTTCTCTTAAGTGACACACCTAGAGGGTGTTATCTCTCCTGTCTTATTCAGAGTGACATTGTGAACCTCTGTAGAGTCTCCTAAGGGTGAAGATATTTCTGGTCCAAATCGGTTGTAGTTTTGAGTTTCAATGTTATTGTTATCGTAAATAAGTAGAAAAGTAATTTGGGAATGAAGGGTGGAAGGAGACAAGGATCTTCTTTAGCTCGTTATTCCTCATCCAGTGAAGTATCAAGCCTAACACTGTGAGCCTTGAGTAGCCCTGAAAGCAGATTTGCAAGGGCTAGGTCCACTTCCTGTTCAGAAAGGAAACATGTAGATAACTCTGTCTCAGATGAACAGTCAGCATCTCTAGAAGCTGAGACTCTAGAGAGCAGCAATGACCAGCCCAGCTCACATTCCAAACAACATTTAGAAAGAAATGAATAAACTGGTGCAGTGGGTGGCTGTCGTAAGGCCGAGGGGCAACTTAAGGACAATCTTTCAGGGGCAGATGGAGAGCAAAACTTAAGACTCATCAGATGAAGCAGACTGTCATCCGGTGGCCGTGACAGCCTAGAATGTAACCACAGTGGAGGCCAAATAGCCAATCTGATAGAGTATCAAGAAGGCTATTTACACAGATGAGGCCATCTTAGCTCCAAGGACAGAACCTTCTAGAATCTATCATTGGATTCTAACAGTTACTTGCTTAAAGCCTATCAGATAGTGACATTACGCCCATTCATTAGCTCAAGATGATCTCATTAACTTGCAAGAGTTGTAATTCTCCAGCTTTAGATTTCAGTTCTTAGAAAAAGAGAATAAGGGGCTGGAGAGATGGCTCAGTAATTAAGAGCACTGGCTGCTCTTACAGAGGACCCAGGTTCAAATCTCAGTACCCACATGGTGGCTGACAAGTGCCCCAAACTCCAGTTCCAGGGGATCCAATGCCCTCTTCTGGTTTCTGTGGGCACTGCAAACATGGGTGCATTTACATACATGCCGGCATAACACATACACATAAAATAAAAATAAATGAATAAATTTTAAAATAAAAAAAGAATAAGAAAAGGGGGGAGGGAGGAGATGGAGGAGAGAGACTAGCACACAATTTGTAATTTAACTGTGTCACTATTGCTACAGCCTATTTATCTATCATCTGTGTTTTAACCTTATTATTAAATATGAGACAATATATTTTCATAATTCATTACAACTTATAGATGTTTCATAAACTGAGACAATTTTAAAAGACATTGAAGAGCAGAGGACAATGTACAGTTTCTGAAGTGCCAAAAGCAAGTTCAGAGCCTAATTAAAATAACTTGATAGAATTAGAGCATAAGAAACAAAGATAAAGGCCAGACAATCCAAGACTAGTTTACTCTGGAAGCTGGTGATTACAGTAATAACACATAAACTAAAGAATTAAAAAGGAAATTCTCAGGGGAAGGTCAGAGCTCGTTGGTGAGCACCCAGTGTTACAAAACACTTCATCTTAGTGCATACTGACATTTGATGTGCTGGTAAAGTGGAGGAGGGAATAAAAGTTGGATACTCCAGTCATACTACAAAGGCCCAGCTGGTTTGATCGCTGGTCCTCAATTCTTTGATAGATGACGGGGTTCTTTAAAAATCTGATAAACGGAGGCTTAAGAAACAGCTCAGCAGTTAAGAGCACTGACTACTCTTGCAGAGGACCCGGGTTCAATTCCTGGCACCCATATGGTGGCTATGAACTGTCCTTAACTCCAGTTCCAGGGAAATTGGAAGCCCTCCTCTGACCTCTGCGGCTTTGCATGACACAGGTGCACTCACATACATGCAGGCAATACACTCATACACATAAAATAAAAATAATAAATAAAAATATTTTTTAAAAAATCTGATAAATGGGGCTGGAGAGATGGCTCAGCAGTTAAGAGCACTGGCTGCTCTTGCAGAGGGCCAGGGTTCCCACATGGCTGCTAATAACCATCCATAATTCCAGTTCCGGGGGTATTCAATGCCCTTTTCTGACCTCTGTGGACATTGCATGACATGGGTGCACTTACATATATGGAGGCAATACTGTCATACACATAAAATAAAATGAAATAAAATATTTTTCAAAAAATTTGATAACTAGCCAGGCGTGGTGGCGCATGCTTTTAATCCCAGCACTTGGGAGGCAGAGGCAGGTGGATCTCTGTGAGTTCAAGGCCAGCCTGGTCTACATAGTGAATTCCAGGCCAGCTGGGGCTACAGGGAGACCCTGTTTCATAAAGACCAAAAAAATTTGATAACTATCATGATCTTTATTTCAAGGAAGAAAAGAATAAAGCTATGAAACTGTGAAAATTGTCCAGAGATTCATGAACTCTGAAGTGCTTCATAGACTTTATCATGGTCCAAGATCTCCAAATTAGGAACACGACCTTGAACCTGTAACTTCCTGGTAACATATAACCCAGATGAGTGTTGCTTCCTTCCCCATGAGGCCCTGCTACAGCACTGAGACCGAACCTCAAACTCATGATTTGCATCCACCCAAAATGTTGGCTTCACAGAAGCAAAAGACATCGGGTGACATCTGTGTCTTGTGGGTGGGAACACAGAGCCTGGCAGTGCAGCATCTTGTAGTACGTCTATTTGATCTGAGATGCAGAACGGGCTCTGACATATGGGACATTTGGCTCTGGATCTGGGGCAATGAGCCCATGAGCAAATGTTCGGTCACTGAGGATCCTACGCATGGGAAACGGGGGACCACAGCATGCCATCTCTAGATGCTTCATTTTTCTCAGCCTCTGCCCACAGGTATCTCCTGACTTGTAGTTGTGTGTCAGCTAAGCTGCTGTTCAGTTCCATTACCTCATTTGTGCGTGTGTAAGAATGTAGGTGTTTAATTATTTAAAATTCATGCGAATTCTTCAAAGATGCTGCATTTTAAATTTTATGTAACTTACTTTTTTCTCAGATGCAAATCACTTTCCTTCAACCACACCCCTTTACATAATGAAGGACACCATAATAGCTGTCAATAGTTACTGAAGGCCTGTCGTGAGTCAAAACTTAGCAATGACATGTCTGGTGCATTCCATGAATTAGTTCATGGAATCATCAAGCACTACGAGGGAAACGCTGTTAGCTACATGTTACAGAAACAGAGATCAAGGCAAGAGAAAATATTAAATATAAGTCAACCTCAGGCCGGGGCATACTTATGTGGCCCATTAACACAATTCCATATGAGCCAAGTGAGGGCCATAAAATGTTAGAATCTTGAGGTTGTAGGAAACAAATCCCATTCCTGGTTAATTTTGTGAATCACCTAAAACATGTCTTGATAAAACATGGACCTTGAAGATGGTGGACCCCAGGCTCAAAGCCTGGCTCTGCAACTAACTTTGTCTAGTGCATAAGCAAATTATTAACCTCACTGAGCTTCAGTGTCACCACCAGGAACATGGGAATAACGTTTTTTATTTATGGTACTGAAAGAATGGGGAAAACAAGAAAATTTTAGGACTGTGCTGGCCAGTCATAGACGTTTAATAAATACTCATTCCTTTCCTTTTCTCCCTTCCTAGCCCTGGTATTATCTGTTTGGTGGCATGTGAAGCTTGGTCACAGACTGCCTAAATACCAAATGCTTCCCTTAGATATGAACAGGCCACATCCAGCCCTTCATCCTCAATATAGATTCTATTTCTTTGAGTAACAAGAGAACAGTAAAATGGGGTTATAACTATTGTATCTCTTTTGAAGTATCCCACATCAACAATTTAATTTTAGATTTTATTTATAGTTCCCTTGTCTGGCTGAAGCCAGAGATCAATCTGGATGCATTAGTGGATGCAGAGACCAGTTGATGGGGAGAATTCCCTCTGACACTGGAGGAAAATGTAGGGGAGACTGAACTAAGGTCCAGAGGCTGGATTTTCTGGGTGCTACATTGTACATCTGGACATGAGGATCAGGAGTATTTAAGTACTAGATAGAAGAGGCAGAGGTTAGAGAAAGGGAGCGTGTGTGTGTGTGTGTGTGTGTGTGTGTGTGTGTGTGTGTGTGTGTGTGTATTTGAAGGGGGGAGTGTCAGATGCAGGGGATTTCCAACAGAGCTGGGCTATCTCTGACAATTGCACGTTTCACAATTAATCAGTCTGTCAGCTTTGCTGCTATCTGGTATTGGGATATCTCGTGTTTGTATTAGGACACCCATAAGGCCCCTTGGTTGGTTCTGGAGGACCCCCTGGTCTTTCAGTATTTCTCACCACATGGAAGATTTGATCCTCCCTAAGTAAAAAAAAAAAAGGATGAGAGAACCCCATCCGGCATCTAATAGGAGCTTATCTTATGTGGCATCTGTCCAGAGGAGGGAGACATATTTCTACAAACAGAAATCTTTAACCTTTCCCTTTGTGAGAAAAACAGCATATTATTTCCTGCCTGTGCATTCCTAGCATGTTCTTATAATCTTGTTTCTGGTGCAAAAGGAGAGACGACTCACTAAACCACCACACAGTGAGTGCCACCTTGTGAAGCCATTCCGCTACCCTGTCAGAATCCATGCTAGATTTTTAACCAGCTTTGGTTGAAGAAACCAGAGGGTAATCAACACAGAACAATTTGTTAAGTGCTTATTGGATGAATGAGAATACTGTTATTTCAGGAGCAAGAAAGACCTGGGGCCTGCAACCATAGACCTGAACACAGGCCTCCAGGCAGTGAGGATACTGATCTATGAATAAAGTCACTCAGCCTGTAGAACTGGAGGAAATTTCATCCATAGACATTTTTTAAGGCTGGTAATTATTTTATTGTACCACTGTATGACTTTAGTCAAACCACTGACTACTTCTGAGCCTCAATAATCTTCTCATGTCCTCTCAGTGTGAAAATGTACCCGACTGGAGAGATGGCTCAGTGGTTAAGAACACTGGCTGCTCTTACAGAAGACTTGGGTTTGACTCCCAGCACCTACATGGCAGCTAACAACCATCCGTAACTCCAGTTGGGTATCTGACACCCTCTTTTGACCTCTGAGGGCATTGCATGACACTGATGTACCTACTTACATGTAGGCAATACACTTACACATTAAAAGAAAAAAAAAAAACGTTGAGTCTCTCCAATACCCAGTTTGGCACATGGACTGTACCAAGCCAATGCTGGCCGTCTTTTCTTGTGCTTAATTTTCATTCCCCAGGGCTTCTCCTTTCCGCTAGCTGAAGTTTGTCCCATATTGCATTCCCATAAAATTTCCTCAGAATAACTTTGCTCTTCTGAGCTTTCAGTGGAAACAGCACTTTGATGCCGTTCAGTGGAGACCCCTAGGGACAGACTCATGTTCTCCAAAACAGAGAAGGACCAAATTCCAACAGCTGGAAGATGTCCATGAGCTTTAGGTTGGCAGCCATAGTTATCCCTCTTGGGCTGAGTCTGTGCTACAGGGACAGAAGATGAGCTGTCCTCCTCTCAAAAAGAGTAAGGTGATCTTGTTACTAAGCCTGTGCTGTGCTTGGAATTGGGAGGGATACATTCTTAGAAATGAATGAGAAAGAGCAAGATGGAGATCCGCTGGGGACCAGGCCCAGCCAGCCAGCCACCACCGATCTCTTGATTCCTCTTGCTTCTGTGAGGATTTGATACACCAACCTTGCCTTCGAGCGGCCGTGTTCTTCTTGAGAACTGACGGCTATAGAGCCTCCTGTGAGGTTGGTCTACCTCCCTCACTTGGAGTGAAAAAACTATCCAGGGCTTCTCAGACCCATGCCACAAGCTACCCTAGGTCTAAAGTTTAGGACATGCTGGGTGGCAAGTCCACTGTAAAGGGAAAAAAGTATGTCAAATCATGATGAAAACACTTCTAATGGAGACCAAAGATTAGACCTTGACAGCGTGAAGGCCCGCTGACCAGTGTTTATAGCTGGGACCACTTAGATTCTTCTAGAATCTCTTCAATAATCTTTTTGGCATCTTCCACATTTGCTTTTAGTCCTCTCAGATGTAAAGGGCTGTTTTGTTTGGCGGCAGCAACAAACATGTTTCTTTGTGCCCATCCCACTGAAGGAATTTAATATTCAGTTTTTGCTAATGATAGGAAGTCTACCATGTCACAGATGAATAAATAACAGCCAGACCTATAGTATTTCCCCTCAGTAGTTAGATCCCCCTGTCCTCTAAGGAAGGACTTTAGTGTGCATACCTTTACAAACACCAGTCAACTCTTCAGAGGAAAACAGTTTAATATTTGACAGCTCTGAACCATATTTTTTCTCTTTTCAAGCAGTCTCTTTAAAGAGTGCTTCAAAACAGGAAACCACACATCTCCACCCCAGCAGAAGCCACCATCCACCAACGGGGTCCCTATCAGTTTGGATCTAAAGACTTTCTGTTCCTGAGCTTGGCTGAATTCCAGCTCCTACCCTGTAGGGAAACCCTCCAGCGCCCCCCTCCCCCAATTCCAGGTTTACCCAGAGCCCTTCTCCAGAACCCTCCCATGGTAGGGCACTCTGCCTTGTCCTCCAGCTTCTCTCCTGACTCTTTACCAGTCTCTGCTCTTACTTCTTTTCTGCAGACCGGTTCCAGCAGCTTCCTTAGCATGTTCTTATCACTAAGTTCCACTTAAAAGACCGCCGTTTTTAAAAACAGCACTACCTCCGCCTTCCAGGGAAGCAGTTTAGAGGTTTCCTACATTGCACTGTGCCCACCTACAGCCTCCCCGGACCCCAGCCATTTCAACTCACATTCAGGGCTTTGCCTGTCGTGTCTCTCTCCGGGGTGCCTCTGTCTCTCAACTCTGACTTCTGAGTACTGGCAGTTAGAACAGGAAGGAAGTTAGTGAGAGAAAAAAAATGTTTTAAACCTACTTGAAGAGGAAACCCTGGGCTGTCTCAAATCCTGTCCTTTTGCACTGCCTATCGTCTGATCAGCCAGCTCTGAGCAGCATTCTTGCAATTAATTGCACATGTAGGAACAAGCTAGCCCATGTGACGTGAGATGCATTGAGTGTACATGCTGGGGGACAGTCCCCTTAGACATGCGTGCTGTGAATAATTGTGTGCATGTGTCTAAGAGCCATAAGCTTGGGGAGAGGCGCACAACCCCAAAACAGTAGTAATAAATTCATATAGGCTTTAGAGTGCACCACCAACTTCTGTTCCTATAAAATCTCTGCCAATTTCTTTATTGGTAAGACTTTTGCTGGCGGTAAATTCAGAGTAGAAATTATGAATGCTAAATGTATATAGTTGGTGCTAAATTTAAATTTTTGTCCTTAGATTTTTGGAGCTTTGTTGGTTTTGATTTCAAGATGTAACTGATAGTGTACCACAAAGGATCAATTATTGTTTCTTAACATTTTTGATATTTTTTTTCCTTCAAATTAGACCAACGAAAGCTAAAAACAGTGCTTTTGTTTATACCTAGGAATGCAGATTACAAAAGAAAGCACAAGTTCATTAATTCATCATCTCCTAACTCAGAAATCTGTGAAAATTACACATGTTCTAAAATTGGCTTTGTCACATATTTGAGGAAATGTTTTGTGAAGTCATTTAAATGGGAGCAGGCTGCTGCAGCCATATCAGGCCATTTGAGGAAACCCTTTCAGAACACTGAAGTCTCACTTACTCTACACATTCCTTTAGCTATTGTCAATAATGCACTTTTATTTGTGCTGACATTTCAGAAATCAGTATTTATGTCAGTATGTTTAGCACTCGCTACCCCTGCAAATAGACTTGGAGAAAATGACATTTCTTCATCCAAATGTGCTGCATGTTCTTGAGTTTATTTTGTAAGTCATTACTGGAGACTATGTTTTGTCCCATGAGGGGTGGAACTGAAGTGAGGGGGGTGGGGGACACCAGAGTCACCTGGTGTGAGAAAACAGACTAACATAGAAAAACATAAAAAAGGAGAACAAGCCCGGTGTGGTGGCACACGCCTTTAATCCCAGCACTCAGGAGGCAGAGGCAGGCAGATCTCTGTGAGTTCAAGGCCAGCCTGGTCTACATAGTGAGTTCCAGGACAGCTGGGGCTATAGGGAGACCCTGTCTCAAAAAAAAAAAAAGGATAACAGTGGGGGTCAAGGGGTACATCTCAGAGTTTGGGAGGCTGAGGCAGGAGGATGCCGTGTTTCACGTCAGCCTGGACTAGGAGAACCTATCTCCAAAATCAATCAATCAACAAACAAAAATGGAAACAGTGCCTAATGAAACTTGTAGAGGCACTAAACCCCCCAAACAGTGCCATTGCATACATTTCAAGGTGCAGTAGTGTTTAGGCATGAACTAGAATGTCCTTAACCGCTCTGGTTTCAGTTCTGCTGTGATAAAATATTTTGATGGAAACTGAGGGGAGGAAGAGGTTATTCAGCTTACAGTTCCAGATTCCAGTCCACCATTATGGAGGTCACAGTAGGAGCTTGAAGGAGATAGTCATATCAGACCTGCAGCCCAGGGCAGTGCATGTGCGCTTACATGCTCAGCTCGCTTTCTTGACTCACAGTTCACAGCCCATGAAATGGTGCCACCCACATTTGGGGTGGGTCTTCCCACTTCTGCTAACCCAATTAAGACAATGAACATCCTTCTCAGGCATGTCCACAGGCAAACCTGATAGAGGAAATTCCTCATAGAGACTTTCTTCCCTGGTGGCTCTAAATTGGGCAAGTTGACAATTAAAATTAACTGGGGCTGGAGAGATGGATCAGCGGTTAAGAACACTGACTGTTCTTGCAGAAGACCCGGGTTTGAATCCCAGCACCCACATGACAGCTAACAGCTGTCCATAACTCCAGTTTCAGGGGATCCAACAGCCTCTTCTTGTCCTCCGTGGGCATTGCATGACACGGGTGCGCTTACCTACATGCAGGCAATACACACATACACATAAAATAAAAACAATAAAATATTTTTAAAAAATTAACCATCACAATGACAGAGGTAGGACATTTCTGATAAATATGTAAGAGAAGTTTGCAAGATTGGTAGTTGATGGGATGTGAAAGATGGTGGTGAGGAAGGATCAGGGATCTCAGACAACTCTGGATATTTTGTCAGAGTCCGTGGTCGTCCCTCTACCTAGACAGAGCATAGGGAAGGAGGAACAGCTGTGCTGGTGGAAATAATGACTTGAGTTTGGGTCGGCTGAGTGTTGAGTGTTGAGTTTTGAGTTTCAACTCTGAAGTTGTTTGTAGGAGGTTATTTCTGACAGAGAAGAACATATATCAAGCTTGGATTTCAACACTTGGGCTCTGAGTAGTTATTTAAACCAGACTATCCACAGCATGCCAGCAAATTAGTGTCCCTCAAGAACTTGCTAGAAATGCAAAGTCTCAGGTCCAACTCTAGCCCTAGCAATTCAGACAATTCCAGCTAGAAATCTCCTTCAGACGCTCCATAGTTTAACTATAATGTTGAAGGAGCACTGGCTTAAACCATGGAAATAGACAAGCTCACCCAGAAGAAGGAAGGAAGAATTTCCCAAGCTTGGAGAAATCCTTTTAGCTCTGTTCCAGATTCATAACCTGTTGACTACTGGATGGTTTGATAGCCTGGTCCTCTCATCACTGTGCCTCAGCTGGACCTCTGTAGCAGCTTATTTCTGTTTCCCATTTCTATAATAGCCTCTCTAACACTCTATGAGTATAGCATTCAGAGTAAAGTACACAGTCACAATCACATGTCTTTCAAACTTCTAAGTACCATTCATCCATTTAGAATAAATGGAAGCTGAGGGTGTAGGTCAGTTGGTAGTGTGCTTGTCTAGCCCTGGGTTTGATCTTTAGCCCTGCATAAACTAGATGACTGTAATCCCAGAGTTCAGGAGGTGAAGGCAAGAAAATCAGAAGTACATGAGTCTGCCTCAAAACAACAACCACAGAAAAGATAAAGTCTTTTCTACGGCCTACAAGTTCTTTTGCTGTGTTAGCCAAATTCAAAGACATGCCCCAATGATCCTGGTATTCAGAACAGATGACGTGTATCAGGGTCAGTGTGTGTGACTCACAGAATATGGTGGACGAGATGCTATGTCACCTCTGAGGCTTTATTATAAGAAAACATCATGCCTCCTCAGGCTGGAGAGATGACTCAACGGTTAAGATTGCTGGCTTTTCTTGAAGAAGACTTGAGTTTGATTCCCAGCACCCATGTGGTGACCAGTAACCATCTATGACTCCAGGTCCAGGGGAATCTGACGCCCTCTTCTGACCTCCGAGGGTATTGCATGACATGGGTACACTTACACACATGCAGACAATACACTCATACACATAAAATAAAAATAATAAATAAAATATTAAAAATAAAAGAAATAAAACATCATGCTCCCTCCTTTGCTCCCTCATGGATCACTCATTCAGTGGGAAGCTGGGCACTGTGTCATAATGCTACATAAGGCTGTACCTGAGGAGAGACTCAGAGTTTCTGCTAATAGCCACGTGAGCGAGCCATTCTGCAAGTGAATCTCCTGGCTCCAGATGACCAAGGTCCCAGTTGATAGCTTGTTACAATCTCATGAAAGACCCTGAACAGGAACTGCCTGGTTGACTTTCACAAACAGTAAGGCAACATGAGTATTTCTGGAAGGTGCTAATTTTGCACTTGCTTGTTTGTTATGCAGTACTAGTTAACGAATACACTCATGATCTGGCTCCTCCCAATACACCGAACTCATCTTTTACACTTGGCCACTGCTTCTCTTACTCAACTCTTTATAAAAACTAATTCCTAGTTTGGAAATTTGTAAATAATTCTCTCTGCAGGAATGCACCCCTTCCTAGACATTCACACTGAATTCTCTTCCTTCCTTTATTGAAGTTCCTGTTCAAATATTAATCGCCCCCCCCCCAAGTCTTTTCTAACAGTACGCTCTCTTAGGTCTGTAAGATAACTTAGTCAGCAGAGGTGCCTGCTGTCAAACCTGATGACCTGAGTCCATCCCTGGGATTCACAGGTGGAATGAGACGATCATTGCTCACAGATTGTCCTCTGATGTTCACACAAGCATTGTGGTACCAACACCCCCATCAGATAATAATAAATAAATAAATAATAGTGCAATAAAATTTAAATTGTGCCCTCTCATCATCCAGATTTATTTTTATTTATGGCATGAAACATCTCAGAGATTCTATGCATTTTTTCCCCACTGTGTTTATTATTCATTTCTTCTGAAGAATGGGAATTCTCCAAGAGCAAAGGTCTTGTTATAGCCACTCCTGTCTTAAGGACTAGAACATGGCTTACACTCCTTGCAGACTGTCAACAAATGTGCAGAATGAGTGTAAAAGGATGATACACTGGGAAAGAGGAAGTTGCAGGTAGCAGGCTAAGAGGAAGAGGAGGAGAGTCTGGAGGAGGGGTGGTTCAGGGGAGTGGAGGGAGAAGGGGAGGGAGGATGCCCGCCGACCGGGTCACCTACACTTAAGCTTTGAATGAATAGTAGTTTGATTGCTTCTACGTTTAGGTTGCTTTACCTTCTTACTTTAGAGTAAGACTACTTTTAAGCTTTATAGTTTTGAACTAATGAGGTTAATAGCAGGTTGTAAAGAAATATATGGCCTCTTCTTCGACTCTGTCTACCTCCCCGTTTCAATATGCTTATAGCCATGTACAGAATCAGTGCAGGATACTGACACTGATACAATTCCCATAACTTACTCAGAGTTTTCTGTGTGTGTGTGTGTGTGTGTGTGTGTGTGTATACAGGTGTATATATGCATGTGTGTATGAATATGTATATGTGTATTTAGGTACATATGTGTACACATGCATATATATGTGGCCATAAGCATGAATGCATGTATATGTGCATCTGTGTATGCAAATGGATATATATGCACATGTGTGTGCGTGCGTGCATATATTTGTGATGTGTATGTGTGTCCATGATT